CACTCGACTAACCTCAGCTACTAAAAAAGGAAAAAAGAATGAGTAATGACATCTGATGGATGGAGAAAGAACGATGACTTGCGAAGTTTTAAAACTTCTTCCTGCAAAAGACAATCATTTCACTTCCAAAACTTCTTCCTGCATATGATCAGTCTTTGTTTGTTTCCCTCTTTAATGCAATCCAAACTCAAAATCAAAGACACAACCTTTAACCTAGCCCCCACCAACTTTAGTTCTTCATTCGACACAATAGAAATGATGATGTTGACGAGGTTGGGGACGAGGTCGGTGGAGGGGAGGGGGATCATGGTGGCAGGGCACGTGATGTTCCCGGAGTCGAGCTAGCGCTGGATCGACCGGTGATTGTAGGTAACACTGGTGTAGAGGATGACGGGGGAGCGCATGACCTCGAGGGAGATTGGGTAGCGGAAGGAGGGGGTCTTGATTTCAAGGCGGAGCTGCTGAGCTGCTTCTCCCCATTTATCTTTTTTTTTCGAGGTGGTTTTTGGTGATTTTGATCGGTTTCTCCCAATTTATATTTAGGGGATCGCGGAGTTTTTACACTGTAACAAACTTCACGGGAGTTCAGCTCCCGTGAAGTTTGTTCAACCCATAAAACTTCACGGGAGTTCAACTCTCGTGAAGTTTAGCAAAATTTTAAGTAACCGCTAAAACTCAACTCCCGTGAAGTTTTATTGATTAAACAAATTTCACGGGAGTTGAACTCCCGTGAAGTTTCGGAAAAATATTTTCAGAAACCGACCTGGTTTCAGCGCTGAGGCTGAAACCAGGTTGGTTTTTGAAAATAAGTGTGAAATAGGTCGTTTTTTAAAAATAGAAGTCCAAACAAGACTGTTTTGAAAATCTGTCCTTCTGATGACCCTCTCCTACTTCTATGTTGGAGAACTATCGGTTGTGATACTAATTTTTGGCAGACAATCGGCTTTGATACAAATTGTTGACAGAACAATCAAGATGGGGAAGCTACCTTGGATCTACCCAACTAGATCTCCTTTCTGAGACGATCAATCACCTCGGCAATAGGGGAACACAAAGGAGCAATTCTTGAACAATAGAGAAAACACGTCAATATACTGTAGAAAAGTACAGATGCAAAACTAGATGCCAAGACATGATTTACGTGGTTCGACATTCGCCAACATCTATAGGGAGAGATTTTAGTCTTCTTTATTCTAGTCGTTATACATGACTTTTCTTAGGTTCTTCAAGGAACCCACAAGAAATCCTCTCAATCTCACCAAAGATCCTCACATAACTTAAATTTCTCTCCTTCGTTTCTTCTCTATGTCTCTGTGGCTTATATACAAACCCTAGGCCTGGAAGACCTGAATTTATAGGGTTAAGCCTGAGCACAATGCCAAACAGGACTTCTAACCCTAACATTATTTCAAAAACACAAACCAGTTTTGAAATGGTCCAGAGCAGACTGACTGATCGGTCTATTGACAAAGAGACCTGCTTGATCCAATCGACCGGTCTACTACCCATCTCGTATTGTTTCCTGGTTTGTTCTGCTTCTGATTCGTCCGAGCTGAAATACAAGCTAAATCTGAACTTAGTAGCCCCTCTTTATCTTCGAGTCTTTTCATAGCTAACAATCCTGCAACATTGTCTTTCTACTCTTATCTATTTGATGCAAATTCCTTTTTGGCATGGATAACCTTATACTTTAACTATTGGTCCTGTCTTCCAAATTGTTTGCTCACTTTTTCTTTTTTCCCCCCGTTGTTTCTTCATTTTCTTATTCTTTCTTCTCTTATTAACTCTGCAAATTTTCAAATCTAATTGTTCACAATAAACAAGAACAAAGTTGTTTTGGAGCATCATCCTTCACCCACCTTAACTATTTTATTGCCATTTATTTTGCTATAACTTACGATTTTTGTCCTTTTTTCCCGTTTTCAACCTAATGAAAATTAAGTATAGGTACTTGAAAATTCGCGATTTCATCGCTATAACCTACAAAAAATTTTCCCCATATTTTGTTCGTTTTGGCATAATGATACAGTGATACTTAAGTATGAGTACTTCAAAATTCACGATTTCGTGAGCTATAACCGAAAAAGTATGAGTACTTCAAAATTTTGATGGAAATTAAATATGCATACGTCAAAATTTCGCGGATTTCATCGGCTATAACCCATGTTTTTTATTAATTTTCATTTTTTTGACTCAATGTAAATTTATGATGCATACTTCAAAATTCGCGACTCGAGTGAGATATAAAACATGTTTTTTGTCCAATTTCGCTTGTTTCAACGCAATGGTAATTAAAATTGCGCACTTTAAAATTTGCGATTTTTATGAGCAACAACCCACAATTTATGTCAATTTTCTGTTCGTTCTAACTAAATGACAATTAAGTATATGTATTTCAAAACCAAAGTTTTAATATATTTTCGTTCATTTCGATCCAATAGCAATTAAGTCTAGGCAATAATCCATGCACTTTGTCCATTTTAGTTCATTTTGACCCAATGACTATTAAGTTTACATACTTCAAATTTCGCAATTTTTATGGGCATTAACCATAGTTTTTGTCAAATTTCACTCACTTTTACTCTGTGACAATTAAGTACACATTTTTAAATTGCAATTTGTTTTGTCCGTTTTTGTTCAGTTTGACCTAATGGCAATTAAATATGGGCACTTCATGTGCTTTAACCGAAGATTTGTATTCATTTTGGTTCCTTTCCATCCGATAGTAGTTAAGTATGCGTATTTCAAACTTCGTGATCTCATTGACTTTAACTACATTATTTATTTATTTTTGTTCATTTTGACCGAATGACAATTATGTATGTGTACCTTAGAATTCACGATTTTTATGGGCAATATAGAAGTCATGAATTTTTTTTCATTTTCTTTTATTTCAATCCAGTGACAATGAAGTTTGGGTACTTCAAAACACGTGATTTTCATGTTATCGAACCCATAATTTTTGTTTATTTTTCGTTACTTCCAATCCAATGGCAATTAAGTACGCATACTTCAAAATTCGCTATTTCACAGGCTATAATCTACATTTTTTGTTCATTTTAGTTTGTTTCAATGCAATGGAAATTAAGTACGCCTACCGATTCATATGTTAATCCACGATTTTTGTCCATTTCCGTTCGTTTCAACTTAATAAAAGTTAAGTATGAGTATCTCAAAATTCACAGTTATCATGGGCTAATCCATGATTTTTCCATTTTCGTTTATTTTGACCAATTGGAAATTAAGTATGGGTATTGAAAATTTATGGTTTCATGGGTTCTAATCCATAACTTTGTCCATTTTTGTTCGTTTTGACTTAATGACAATTAATTACGCTTATTTCAAATTTTGTGATTTCATAAGATATAGTTGACAATTTTTGGTTATTTTCATTCCTTCTGTTGCAATGATGCAATGACAGCTGAGGACGCGTACTTCAAATTTCATGATTTTATGAGTTGTAACACTTTTTGTTCGCTTCAAACCTATAGTAATAAAATACGCATTCTTCAAAAAGTCGTAATTTTCATGGGCTATAATGTGTTCTTTTTGTTCATTTTCGTGCTAATATAAACTAAATATGTGTACTTCAATAATACAGATTTTAGTAGGCTATTACTGAACTTTTTGGTCGATTTTTTTCAGTTTCTAATGAGTTTCAGATTTTAATTGGCTATTATTGACCCTTTTTTGTTCGTGTCGAACCTATGACAATTAAGTTTTCATATCTCAAAATTTGGGATTTTCAGGGAAATAACCTAATTTTTTTGTCCATTTTTGTTCATTTCAACTCAAAGAAAATTAAATTTCTAAACTTCAAAATTGGCGATTTTCAAGAGCAATAGCCTTGGTTATGATTTTCTTTGATTTTGATTCTTATGATAATTAATTACACGTATATCAAAATCATGATTTTTGTCAATTTTCATTCATTTCGATTCCATAACAATTATGCCTGCGTACATTAAAGTTCGTGATTTTATGGGTTCTAATCCATCATATTTGTTCATTTTGACCCAATGACGATTAAGCATACATTCTACAAAATTCATGATTGTCATGAGCTATACACAATTTTGTTCATTTTCGTTCTTTTCGACCCAATGGAAATTAAGTATTGATATTTCATAATTCGTGATTTTTCATGGGTTATAACCCACAATTTTTGTTCATTTTCATTTGTTTTGACCCAATAACAATTAAGTATGCTTACCCAGTGGAAATTAAGTATCGATATTTCATAATTCGTGATTTTCATGAGTTCTAACCCACGATTTTTTGTTCATTTTCATTTGTTATGACTCAATAAGAACTAAGTATGCTTACCTCAAATTTCATGTATTTTCATGAGCTATAACTCATGATTTTCTACCATTTTTTTTCTTCGACCCTATGAAATTTAAGTATGGGTATTTTATAAGTCACAAGTTTCACGGGCTCTAACCCATGATTTTGTCAATGTTCATTGCTTTTGATTAAATGGTAATTAAGTATGCATACTTCGAAATTCTCAATTTTTGTTCGTATCAACCATGGTTTGTGTCCATTTTCATTCTTTTTTACCACTTGACAACTAAGTATGCAAATCTCAAAATTTGTGATTTCATATTTGTTCACTATTTCCTTTTTCCAGTCATTTCTTCTCTAACTCCATAGTTTTGATGTGATTTTTTAAGTCTAATTGCTATGATAAGTAAGAACAAAAGTCTTTGGAGTATCATCCTTCACACTTTTAACTATTTCATTGCTAATGCATCTAGTCTTCTTACTTTCTGATTAGTTAGGTTGTTTCCAATTATTCGGTGTTGGAGCATTGAAATGATGGATAATTTATATTTAAAACAAGAAAACCACAATATTTTGGTCTATATACCTAACCGACCCATTCTTTGTTGACTCTGAACAGATGCTTGTATCCCTATAACCTGAGCTAACATTAAAATATTATCTCACTATGTCATGAAAATTCAAATAAAGTTTTAAGTTGGTGAAATATGCAGATCTCAGCATCAAAATAAAGCCTCAGCGATGGCAGTGCTGCAGTCTCGGTTAGATCAGCTTGAAATGACACGCCAAGCCCAGATGAATGCAGAGCATACTCAATCACTCACTGAGATCAGTTGGGGCAATCAGATTCGGACTTACGTCCTCCATGTAAACTTTCCTATTCCCTTCCCATTTTTTGGATAATGTCTTAGCGTTAATTCTGCAGAGACCCCCTGTAATTTCTTCGTTTGAACTACCTCTGTAGTTTTGTTGTTGTGGATAAACCACTTGGGTTACATTTTTTAACTACTTTACACTCAGTTTAAAAAAATTTCACCAAGGCTAATAGAGGCGAAAATTTTTTAACCCAGGGTGAGTACAGGGATAGTAAGGGCAAAACAGTGATAGTGCGGGGGTTCTATATGCAATTAATTCATAATGCTACTTACAAGGAAGATTCTAATGTGCTTCTCTCTGCAGCCATATCGCATGGTCAAAGATCTACGAACGAACTACGAAGTTTCAGACCCTGATTCTGTTCTTGAAGGAGACCTTGATGGCTTTATTCTCAACTTTTTATCTGCTTCATTGGACAAAGATGATGAGAAGCCGTGAATCGATCTGGAGAGTGGTGTTGACTGTTGTCAGTAAAAGATTTTGTAGCGCAGGAATAATCACAATAGCGGCTGTTAGTGTTTTTATTATGCATATATGATATATGTCATAATTTATTCCTGAATACTCATATTTCAGCTTTTCACTTGCTGAAGATGGTCTTTTTATAGGAATTCGATGAAAAAAGAACGTGATGTTGGATTACGAGGTCGTTATGTAAGGGAAAATGTTGTATTCATTTGTTTAATTTCTCGGTAAGAACGGTGTGGGACACGTTTTTTGTTCTTGTACCCTGCAAACTTTTACTTTCTCGATGAACGGTGAAAGCTTTTTTTGGCTTTGTCAAATCTGAAACCACAAGAAATCAGGGGAAAGTGAGGTGAGAATTCTGGGCTTTTGGATTTCAGATTTGTGGTGTTTTGTGGGAAATCTGTGTTGTGCAAATGAGCAAGAGGGTTGATTCCTGACCTATAGCCGTTTAGTTCTTTTGTTGTCCGTAGATTCCCCATTTTTTTACTTTTGACTCTTTAACTCTCAAGAGAAAGACAAAATTGTTTTGACAAATAAGCCTCCTAAGGGCAAAAGAATTAAAAAAAAATCACTCAGGGGGTTTATCTTTTCGTCTGGAAGGTGAAAGAGTAAAAAAATCTTCATTCAACCATCTGTGACAATAAAGCTGGAGAGTAGTAAGTACAAAACAGAGAGACTAAAGGGGCCAATCTACAACAATAAAACTAGAAGGGTAACACGAAATAGCAATATACTATAGGGGTCTATTCGCAATTAATCCTATTTAATATGATATTATTGTAGGTTTAATATGAAAAAGCGATACTATAGGGGGACCTGTCTTGATATTTTGCTCATTTTGACCCAATGAAAATTAAGTACGCATGGCAAAATTCTCTATTTTTATAGGATAATCTGCGATTTTTGTTCCTTTTGATCCAATTATAAAGTAAAGTATATGTATTTCAAAATTCAGAAATTAATGATTCATAGGCTATATCCCACATTTTTTTCATTAATTTTAGTTCGTTTTGATGCATTGGAAACAAGTATACACTGTTGAAAATTTGCAATTTTAAAAGCTCTATATAACCCACGATTTTATTAGCTATAAGCCTATAACCCATGATTTTTTCGTATTTACTTGTTTCAAGCAGCAATGAAATATGTATAATTCAAAATTTACAATTTTCATATAGGATATAATCCATTATTTTTGCTCATTTTGGTTCTTTTCATCTTAGTGGAAATTAAATATGCGTACTTCAAAGTTGTGATTTTCATGGGATACTCATCAGTTTTATCCATGTCCTTTCCTTTAAATCAGATGGCAATTAAGTGCGCTTATTTTAAAATTTGCGATTCATGGGCTATAACCCATGTTTTTTTGTTTATTTTAGTTCATTCTGACCCATTGAAAATAAGTATGCAAACTTTAAAATTTGCTATTTCATGAGTTATAACCTATGATTTTTATCTCTCTCGTTCATCTCGACTCAATGGCAATTAAATAAGCGTATAACAATCGCAATTTTTATGGGCTACAACCCATGATTTTTATCCATCTATATATGTTCCTTTCAATCTAATTAAGTGTGTGTATCTCAAGATTTGCAAATTCACAATTTCATAGGTCGTATCTCATTTTTTTCCATTTTAGTTTGTTTCAACACATTGGAAATGAATATGTGCATTTCAATATTCGTAATTTCATGTGCTAAAATGCATGATTCCTTGAGCTATACCTCACGATTTTTTCCATATGTATTTGTTTCAAACAATTGCATTGAAATATGTATACTTCAAATATTTTTTTTCCTTTCACGAGCTATGACCCATGAATTTTATTCATTTTTGTACTTTTTACTTAGTGGAAATTAAATAAGTTATATTAAAGATTTGCGATTTTATGACATATAACCCATTGTTTTTGTCCCTTTTCATTCCTTTCAATTAAATGACTATTAAATTGCATATTATCTATAACCCATGTTTTTCAATTATACTTCATTATGACCCCATGGAAATCATGGAACTTGAGTATGTGTACTTAAAAAATTCATGTCTTCATGAGTTATAATAAATATTTTTTGTCTATTTTTGTTCATTTTGACCCAATGTCAATTAAGTGTACCAAAATTCATAACTTTCAAGCCATGATTTTAATCCATTTTTATTTCTTTCAATCCAATGGGATTCAAGTATGCGTATATCAAAATTTGCAAATTCATAATTTCATGGGCTATAACCCATGTTTCTTTTCATTTTAGTTTGTTTGGATGCATTAGAAATTAGGTAACTTTATATCAACATTCATGATTTCATGAGCAATAATACATGACTTCATGAACTATTTTTATGATTTTCTAGCAAAACCTATAACATTTACCCATTTTTATTTGTTTTAAGATGAATATGCATACTTTATATCAACATTCATAATTTCATGAGCAATAATACATGACTTCATGAACTATTTTTATGATTTTATAGCAAAACCTATAACATTTACCCATTTTTATTTGTTTTCATATACTTTAGAATGTGTGATTTTCATATGATAACCCATGATTTCATGAGCTATTCTATGATTTTCTAGCAAAATCTATAACATTTATCCATTTTTGTTAGTTTTGAGATGAATATGCATACTTCAAAATTTGTGATTTTCATATGATAACCCACAATTTTTGTTAATATTTATTCGCTTTAACCCAATGATAATTTGGTATGCATACTTTAAAATTCAAGATTTCATGGGATGGACTATAACCTATGATTTTTGTTCAATTTGTTAGTTTTGATAACTTGCCAACTAATTATGTATACCTTGGGATTCTCAATTTTCCTGGGCTACAATCAATTGAAAACCTTTTTTCATTGTTGTTATTTTTCATCAAAGTAGACTTTTAATATGCATACTTTAAAATTTCATGGCTATAGTGTGATAAAACCTATAATTTTTTTTCAATCTCATTAATTTCGATCCAATAACAATAGATTATGCATAGTTTAAAATTTCTCGATTTGAATGGGTTATAAACCCTGGTTTTTATCTATTTTTGTTCATTTCGAATCAAATGGCAATTAATTTAGTTACCTCAAAATTCATGATATTTAAGAGCAACAATCAACAACTTTCATCTATTTTCGTTTATTCAGAATAAATTACAGTTAAGTTTTCAAGCTTCAAAATTTGTGATTTTCAAGGGCAATGACTCCTAGGTTTCATCAATTTTCATGGGATGTAATTGACGATTTATGTCCACTTTTTCATAGGTTGTAATAAACAAATTTTTTGTTCGTTTTAGTTTGTTTTAGCGCATTGGAAGTTGTTAGACCCTAGGGGGGTGATTAGGGTCTTATGCTAATCTAATCCTGATTAAATTCCAATTAAAATTATATTGATTAATATGTTCTTGCAAGAATGATATAAGATAGATATGAGCAAGAAAGATATGAATAAGCACAAATAAAAAGTACACTAAGCAAAACACAAACAAACGATATGTTTACGAGGTTCGGTTACCACGACCTACGTCACCGCTCCTCACCTCGAGGAGATCTCCACTATCACAATCCGGTTTGAAAGCCGTAACTTCTACACATTCGGTGTACAAGCTTACCGAAAACTCTCACACAACAAACACTATGCAATCACACTTTACACGCTAAGTGTAGGAACTTAGCACGTGTCCTCCTTCTCAAGTGTTCAGATGCAACCCCTCCCTAGGTTCATCAACCAACGCCACTCCTATTGGATTCGACCCTGTCTCACGCCTCACACTTCTCTCGGTGTACAAGTGTGATTCGACCCTGTCTCACGCCTCACACTTCTCTCGGTGTACAAGTGTATTACAAGTGATACTCACAATAAAAGATAAATACAATGATACAAGTGATACTCACAATAAAAGATAAATACAATGATTTGTTCTCAATATCAAAAGAGAACACAATGAATCTCACACTCACTAAATCACTACCCACACTATAAGGTATGAAAATATTAAGCTCAATATTGTGTGTGTGATAATTAGTGAATAAAAAATATACAACTCAATAAATATAGCTAAGATATGAAAATGAAATAATAAGCTATATGTAAATGAGTTAGGAAAATTTCTCCATAGACAAGAAGAACAATGGATGATGAGATTAAAATCCTCTTCTTGTAGTAGGAAACTTCTTTTAAAACAGACTGATGAAATCGGTTTAAACAGCTCTTAAACGCTTCTTAATCTTTTGTTAAAAAACTAATTGTAAAACAAAACTTCTTGATGGATTAGTTGCTGAAGGAGAAGAGCAATGGGGTATTTATACCCACTCAAAATATCAGCCAAATCCAACTTGAAAAGACCAAAATAGCCTCAGACAGCCGTTGCAGAAAATAGCAGTTAAAAGGCAATGATGAGATCGGATGTCGACCGTGGAAATCTCGCGGTTGACCGCGAGGCACAAAAAAGCTGAGAATAAGGTTTGAAAGCTGGCGGTCGACCGCGGAGGTCGACCGCGGCGGTCGACCGCGAAGGTCTCTGCATGGATTCACGGTCGACCGTCACAGTCGACCGCGAGCACATAATAGCTATACTAAGAAATTTTGCTGCTGGCGATCGACCGTGGCGGTCGATCGCAAACTGATATATGACATATGGCAGGTTTTGGGCTGATTTTAAAAATATATTAAAAATATCAAATCAATTCCAAAAATAGTAAAACTTTGGGAAAAGTTTCTAAATGATGAAATAAACATGTTTGAAAAGGAATTTTTGGAAAATCAATTTTCGTTTGTGAAAACTCCCTTCTTTTTGAAAAGTGTTCAGAAAACCTGTTTTTCGTGAACATGAAAAATTGAGATATGACTTGTAAACATGTATATGTGTATCATGCATACATTATATATATATATATAATAAAGTATGAAAGAGCTGTAAACATGCAATAAAAACTATTGTAATAAAGTTTGATGAAAAATCATTTATATGATAGGAAACGTCAAAACTGTGTTAAGTGTTCATATATTGAGCTTAAATATAAACATACAATATATGTAAGCAAACAAAACTTATACCTAGGTGAATGCACACACATGAACTTGAATCTTTAACGCTTGATTGTTGTGTGTTGAATATACCTAGGTGAATGCACACACATGAACTTGAATCTTTAACGCTTGATTGTTGTGTGTTGAATTACCTGCAAAGAGAAAAACAAAACAACAAAAACTAGAGAATGGATTAGCGATAAATTGTTTGACAAATCATCATCAAAACTATAGAGCCAACAGAAGTATGTGTAGTTTAAAATTCGTAATTTTATGAGCTATACTCATAATTTCATTAAGTATAACCAGCCATTTTTATCTACTTTCACCCGTTTCGATCAATGCCTACATCTAAATTTTTTGTTTTTCGAACTCATAACTTCTACTCATTTTTGTACTTTTCATCATAAAGGAAGTGAAATATGTGAACTTCAAAATTTTATAATTTTCATGGGCTATACAACCCAAAATTTTTGTCCATCATTATTCTTTTTGATCAAATGGTAATTAAGTGCGCGTATTTCAAAATCTATAATTTCATGGGCTATCCTATGTTTTTTGTTCATTATTATAATTCGTTTAGACTCAATAAAAATGTAGTATGTCCATTTTTATTTACTTCGATTCAAGAAAGTGAGTATAAGTATTTCAAAGTTTGAAAATTCGCAATTCCATAAGGTATAAACATATATATATATAATAATATATATATATTATATATATATAATATATATATATATATATATATATATATATAATATATTAATGGGTATCCTTGTCATAGGAGGAGATTTCCTCCTATGACGCCTCTAAAATCACATGATTGAGCGATATTATGGATGATCCGCTCCGTTGAACTTGATCTACATATTCTAAAACGCCTAACACACCAAGTTTGGGGGTGAACCCGTCCTCGTTTGACCATTCATCCACTCGTATCAATTTTAACGGTTTTGAATGAATAGAACTTTCACATGGCTCGATGCGAGGGTCTAAACGACGACGGATTCACCCCAAACTTGGTGTGTTGGGATTTTAGAATATGTTAGAACAAGTTCAACGGAGCGGATCATCCATAATGTCGCTCAATCATGTGATTTTAGAAGCGTCAAGGAGGAAATCCCCTCCTATGACAAGGATACCCATTAATCTCTCTCTCTCTCTCTCTCTCTCTCTGCTATAATAGTATATATATATATATATATATACATATATATATATAATATATATATATAATATATATTATTAGGAAAAAACGGAATCATAAGGTGGCACCCTAGGCTCCCACCTAAGACGCGGCCTAAAATCACATCATTCCTAAATTTTTTGCCGATCCGCTCCGTTCAAACTGATCTACACGTTCTTAAACCTAAACACACCAATTTTGGGGCGGAACCCATTCGTGTTTTGACCCCTTCAGTCACTCGCTGCAATTTTAACGGTTTCGAATGAATAGAACTTTTTTGGATGACTCAACGAATGGGTCAAAAAACCGATGGGGTTTACCCCAAAATTAGGTTGTGAGTTAAGAACGTTGTAAGATACAGTTCTAAACGGAGCACGCGCATCCGCAAAAAAATTTAGGGAATGCATGTGATTTTTTACGGCCGGCGTCCTTACTGGGTCGAGCCAGTAGTGAGGCTGCCCCTTAGATTCACTTTTCCCAATAGTTACTATATATATATATTATATAATTATATATATATATATATAATATATAATATATATTATTATATATAGTAAGACGTCCTATCAAATCTTAAGCGACTTAAGTTGATGTCCACCAAACTTCCTAGCCACTCATTTATTAATTAATATAAAAAATATTTTCATATCATGCAATGATCCCTAGGCAATATGAATGGCTAAAAAGTTTGTTGGACAACTAGGGTGTAGGGTTACAATACACTTAGGGTGTAGCTAACTTAGTTACACCCACTTGTAAAAGTACATGTCTGAGCGTCGATATTAACGATCAACACCATTCATTATGATCTACATATCATCAAATGCGTGTGGATCAAATATCATTTGACTTGGGATTTTCTATCCTATAATTCAAGCAACTCAAAATATTTATAGTTTCTTTTTCAACGTATTGAAAATTGAATATCATTTCTTCATTGATTTTCATTGTCTATAATCTGCGAATAATTTTTAGTAGATTTCATTAGTATGAAAATTAAATATATGCACTTCAAGAAATATCGATTTTAATAGGCAATAATTGATGATTTTTATCCATTTTATTCATTTTGAACTAATAAAAACTAAATATGTGTACTTTAAAATTAAGTATGAGTATTGTCAAATTCACAATTTTCATAGGCTCTAATCCACGATTTTTCTCCATTTCCGTTTGTTTTGACCCAATGATGTTTAGGTACGTGTATTTCAAAATGTGTGATTTCATGGGGTATATAACCTGTGACTTCCATTAATTTTTGTTTGTTTCAACCCAGTGACAATTAATTATGCATATCTCAAACTTCACGATATCATCTGCTTTAATCCATGGCTTTTTTGTTCATTTTTACTCTTTTTGACCCTATGACAATTACATTATGCATACTTCCAAATATTCAATTTTCTTGGGCTATGTAACCTGTGATTTTTCTTTAATTTTGTTAGTTTATATCCCAATAGAAATTAGGTATGCATACTTTAAACTTCAAATTAGGTGAAGGCAATAACCAGCAATAATATTTTTTCAACTTCTTTCATTTTGATCCAAGGATAATTGATTATGTGTAGCTTAAAATTTCGTAATTTGAATGGGCTTAAGCCTATAACATATGATTTTGTCCATTTTCTTTTGAACCAGTCTCAATTAAGTTCGCATACTTAAAGATTCATGATTTACAAAGATTTCCCATAATTTTTATTCATGATTTACAAATATTTCCCATAATTTTTTCCCTACTTTGTTCGTTTGCACTCAATGGAAATTAAGTTCACGGGCTTCAAAATTCGTGATTTTCAGCTCTTTCAAAAACATATGAAAAAATAGGCTCCGACTGATAAAATTAAGTTTGCGAGATATCAACAACATATATATGACAACAAAAACGAGAGGAAAATTTCTTCTTTCATTTACTTTTCTATTTATAATTGAAATGAGTCATCTATACACCAAAGAATTCAGTCAGGTTTCCTCCACGCTACAATCTCCCTCACCCATTTCTTCGTGAGCATCTTTCAACTCTTTCGGCCAAACATTGAGGGAGAAGCATTTTTCCACAAAAAATAATAATAATATAATAATAATAATAATAAATGAAATGAACCTATGGGTATTAATTAGTGGCCTGGCTAGCGGGAAAAAAATGCTATGAACTTTTGAAAGGGGCGGGGGGGATATTTACAGCGCGTAACAACAGGCCTCAACCTCATCCAGCCAAAGCTAAATTTTTCTATAAAAATTTTCTATCCTACAAAGATGAAGATGGAAACGTTTCATCGATCCATTCTGATAACCTCCGCATCTTGGCCCTCATCTCAACGTTCTTGGCAAAGTAGGACTCAGAATTGGAAACCATCACCATGGCATCATGCTTGACTGCCTCCAGAGTGCGATAATAGTTTTTCTCCAAGCGTCTCTTGATCGTATCAAGAGATAATGGAACAGGGAACCTGTATATAGAGAAGAAAGAAAGAAACATTTTCAATTTTCTAGAATCTTCATATCTGGAACATTAAAATTTGATATGAAATGCTTGACATTTCTACACCTTGTTCATGTATTTGATACAGTAAGTATATAATGCCTACAAATGTCAAAAATAAAGGTTCATATGTTTACTCGAGGTTTAAGCAGGATTGGATTATGAAGTCAAAAACTTCACTACAGGGATATGTTTGAGTTTGAGAAGGGTCCAACTCATCTGAGAGAATAAAATGTCACCTCTTCTATGATGACTAACACATGGCTGCTTCGTAAAAGTTTTGCTATAAAGCAAGAAGACCTTCGTATTTTATTACCTATTTGAACGCCATCTCATTTTCACTTCTATTGGTTGATTGCTCAGCTGAGATTTAATCCCATAGTCTCATCAAACATCTATCTCTATGATACTTCACGTTATGTCCATGAGCTTACCAGTAAAAATTTTACTCATGCGCGTCATCCATCACACAGAGAACATAAGCCATTGTAATCACCATTATAATTGGCTTACATTGTGCATGCAAATCGAATATAATATTACCATATTATATTCTATGATAACTTACAAGTAGGGTGTTAACGGATCAGATGGTGGCGGAGCCAGAAAATTTTTATTTAAGGGGGCAACTAGTCCCTCGAATCATTAACATTGTCATGAATTCCCCTAATTCTTATAGGCTGTGTTTGGGAACTTGGATTTGAGCCCTGAATTTAAAATCCAGGGCATTTCAAATCCAAATCTCTAGTTTGGGCCTCAAATTGGGTTAAGATTTCAAATCCAATTATTTTAAAGAGGAGATTTTGAAAGCCCAAATGCACTAACTTGAAATCCCACCTTGCCCCTTCGTATTTACAAAATCCCAATCCCGACTCCTCCTCTCTCCTATATCTCAGTCCCAATCTCGACTCCTCTCTCTCGTTTCTCAATCGCGATCTCGAATCTCTCTCTCAACGCAGGTATCTCTCCTCTCTCCCCTTGGTATCTCTCCTCTCTCCCCTTCTCCTCTCTCGTCGAAACCCTAGATCTGATCTAGGATTTCGGTCTCCCCCTTTCTCCTCTCTCTCCCACTTCCATCAAAACCCTAGATCTGATCTAGGGTTTAGGTCGTGATCTTCGCGGCTTAAACCCTAGATCAGAGCTAACACAAACCCTAGATCTGATCTAGGGTTTAGGTCGTGATCTTCGCGGCTTAAACCCTAGATCAGAGCTAACACTCGATGTTATTTGAACAATATTTTTAACCGAATATTTTTAGCGGCTTAAACCCTAGATCAGAGCTAACACTCGATGTTATTTGAACAATATTTTTAACCGAATATTTTTACTTTTTTGATGATTTCATTATGAATGCATTAGGGTTTGGTGATTTTTTGATGATTTCATTATGAATGCATTAGGGTTTGGTGATTTTTAACCGAATATTTGGTCATTTTTAATTTATGTCTATGTTCATAGCGTTCTAGTAGGGGTGGGGATTAAGTACTTAAGTTAGCCTTACATTGTTATACTTCAGATCATTGATCCCTGAGTCGCTAAAAAAAAGATTTGTCTATAAACAGTGATGAAATTGAGGCCTATAGTAGAACTTTTTCATTGATAGTATACTTCAGGCAATCATTGATCCATAGAGGTTTATGAGGAGGCCTATAGTAGAACTTTTTCATTGATAGTATACTTCAGGCAATCATTGATCCATAGAGGTTTATGAGCAAGATACCTCAGGACACATCATTTTGATAGTATACTTCAGGCAATCATTGATCCATAGAGGTTTATGAGCAAGATACCTCAGGACACATCATTTTGCTTTGAACATACTTGACTGTGTACATAGCTAATGCACTTAAGCTTTGATACAGAGCACTCTCCTTTAGGTACCTGCATTTACATGTTGAGCTTTGAAATTATCACATTTCTTCTAGAAAGTAGGATCAGATTGTGCGTCTTGAGATCACGATGCAAACATATATTGCATGAGCAGGTTCAATTTCTCTGAACCAATAGAAAATTCATTGAAGGGCACCCTGATTTCAAGAATCTACACACAGGTATAGTTATTTCTAATGTTGTATTGTGTGTTCAATATATTGTATATAGTTCTGATAAATGAACTCTGGAAATTTATGTATATTTTTAAGTATACATCAAAGTTACATATTTTTTTGTTGATTAAACTTGATAGGTTTGGGTATGTTTGCCTTTTAATCTAGATTATCACTCCTTTTAATGTGATAGGTTAAAAATGATAAATGATGAAAAGGATTCAAGGATCCAACTTAAACGTACAAGGAAAGAATTTGAGAGGAGAGAGGATGAGGAAATTATTATGGTAGTAGTCAGTTTTATAGTTGCTGTCATTGGTGTTTGGTACTATACAAAGCACATGTTGAAGGAGAGTTCAAGAACACACCGAAGAAGAGGATGAAAGGACATACCTTAGAAAGTCTTGGATTCGAAATCTTATTTGCAATGCAAATAACTGTGTTGAACAAGTTAGGATGAATCCTCAAGCGTTTAAGAGGTTATGTGATGTTCTATGTACTAGAGGGGGATTAGTAGCATCAAGAAATGTCACGATTGAAGAAATTGTCGTTATGTTTTTGCATATTTTAGCTCATAATGTAAAAAATAGGACAAGCAAAACAGATTTTTATCGTTCAAATGAAACAATTAGTCTGCAGTTTCACAAAGTACTTCAAGCAGTCATGAAGATAGGAAGCCTCTATATTAGACAAGAATATACAAATCCTAATGAGAGAAACATAGAGAAGTGAAACTATGACTTCTTTTATTAAGGTTTTCATGTTTAAAACTTTTGTTTAATAGAACTAATTGTAAGGTTGTGCAATTTTAGGGTACTATCGGGGCACTTGATGGGACTCATATCCAATTAACTATTCCTTTGGAAGATCAAAGTAGATATCGAAATAGAAAAGGTGAGACCAATACAAATGTACTTGGTGTTTGTGATGCCAATTTGAGATTTTCATATGTGCTACCTGGTTGGGAGGGTTCAACATCAGATTCTCGTGTTTTGCGTGATGCTTTGCGTCGGCCCAATGGCTTAAAACTTTCCTCAAGTAGGAATATAATTTTTTAATTATTATATATGTATTGCTTCCTAGTTTTTACATTGTTGTGACTGAAGATTTTGATTTTGTAGATAAATACTTTCTTATGGATGCTGGGTATACAAATGGGTCGGGGTTTTTGGCACCTTATAGAGGGACTCGCTATCATATAAAGTCTTAGAGAGAAAATAGTCCAATAAACTACAATGAGTTATTTAACCAACGACATTCCTCTGCTAGAAACACAATTGAGAGGGTATTCGGATTGCTAAAAAAACGATGGGCTATATTACGAACAGCTAGCTTTTATAGTGTTAAGACTCAAATTAGGATCATTAATGCATGTTGTATTCTTCACAACTTTTTACGTGAAGAGATGAATGAAGACGACTTGTTGAATGATGTGGATCGAGAATTAGAAGATACTCCTGTTTTAGAAATTGAGAACGTAGATGATGAGCGTATCACCACTATGAGAGTTACAGATGAATGGAGCAACTTTAAAGATGATTTAGCTATGCAAATGTGGGATGAATATCGACTTTGAGATACTTTAGCTACAAGATGGAAATGAGGGCGACGAGTATGAAGATGATGATGACTGGTTGTGAGATTTTAATATATGTAGTGTAGTTTCTGTTTATGCAGTGTGGTTAATTTAGTCAAGTGCGTTACTCTTGACTAAATTTGTATATTTTATATATGCTGATGACTGGTTGTAGATTTTTATATATGCGGTGAGGAACATAAAGATTGTTTTTCTGTTTACTTGGGCCTATTACACCTTAAATTAGTCCTCGGATTTGAGGTTAGTTTTCTATTTACTTGGGCCTATTACACCTTATGTAGTCAAGTGCCTTACTCTTGACTACATCTTGGCTGTTTTCTGCGGCTTTAACTAGTGCAAATTTGCTACATCTTATCTGTTTTATTTAGCTGACTAGCTTGCTGCCAATCATAGTCTCCCATATATATAAGATTTATAAGTTGGCTTGCAAATTTGCTACATCTTATCTGTTTCCAAGAAGCCTCACATTGATGCTGTTAGGTCATAGTAATTATCATATCCCCTGCATATCTGTAGAGATTATTCAATCATTTCACTTGCTGTAAACAAAATACGCAAATTCAAAAATACCCAAGAGTTTGGTCATTTTTCACAAACATAAGGTGTAATTTTTTATATATGCGATGAACATTAATCATTCTGTGTCATTCACTTTGGTATGTATTAGGACGACAAAGAAAAGGAAACAAATTGCATCTCAGTCGAGATCATATGTTGTGTGGAATCATGATATGGACTTAACTTTAACCAATGTGTTGTACGATCAAATTGAACCAATGATTAAAAGTCGACGGTACTTGGAAGCCTCAAGTGTATCAAGCTGCGGTTGATGCGCTAAAATCATTTAATAGCAACTTGAACAAAGATAACATGAAGAATCGACTCAAAATTTGGAAAACACATTATAATGTTATCTATGACATTAAAAATAAAAGTGGTTTGACGTGGTTGGATGATGAGAAAAAAATGGTGATTATACCTGCTAGTGAGCAAAAAGTATGGAGCGACTATGTTACGGTAATATTGCACTTTATACTTATTAATTTGAATTATTAGTTTGTTGCATATATCTAAAAATGTTTGTGAATGTTCTTATATTGCAGGCTAATCCAGATGCAAAAGGCTGTTAAAATCGTTTGATTGAAAATTAGAGCCAATGGTGAAGGTGCAGAAACCTTTGAAGAGGCTGCTAACGCAATGCAACATAAGAAATTTGAGGCATGATCTGAAACAAATGAAGGTGGAAGCTCTTTAAGGAAACATCTACCTAGAGCATCAACTAGTGGTGAGACAAGTTCAAAGAAACAAAAGAAGGGGGTAAAATGGCTGATTCACTTGTAATGATGGTAGCTTCTGTGAGTGAGTATTTAATGAGAGAAAGAAGGAAGTAGTAAGAAAACCACCAACCAGAGAGGAGATTCATCAAGTGGTCTCAAAAATACCTAATTTAAGTCGCATTCAAGTGTTCAATGCATTTGAGAAGATAATGGATAGCAACCCGGAAAAAATTTATTTGTTAAAGTCACTTCCTGATGATGAAAAAAGAGATTTTATTCTCTTTATTCTTAAAGAGTAGTTTCTATACCTAATTTGTTCATCATTTGCTTGTTCCTTTCTTTGGTTTCTTTTTCCTGGAGGGTGCATTTTTCATGCTATTATGTCTTGTTTCAATATATGAAGATTATTTCGAATGAAACCAGTTATGATATGTCCTTTCTTACTGTTACTAATTCACGAGGATATCTGTGATGTATTTTATGATATGTTAGTAAATGTTCTATGTTGCGTTTCTTATAATAGCTCAGGTGTACGCTTGTATAATTGCGTTGCTGTAAACCGTTCATCGTAGTCTCTTTTGATTTGTATAGCAACAGTTGCAATCATAAGAACAAGGTAACGTTCTGTACGTGCTATTACTCTATGTCTTTCCTCAGCACTGTGTGTGAGTTGCTGTATCTTTGCTTATACTTACAGGAATGGGCTTATCTTATTCAATCTCACTTATCCGACATTTTGGTTTATCATTGCCAAAATTAGCTAAATTTGTGTTTTTTGGTTACTATTTTACACATCTCCATTGCATTTGATGTAAACAAGACGGGTTAAGAGAATAAATTTTTATCAATTTTAAATTCAAATTCATGTATAATAAAGTACCTAAACACTAGATTTTGAAATCAAAGATTTCAAATCCTTTCATTTAATAAAGATATTCAAACGAAAGATTTCTTAAATCATGGATTTCAAATCCTAAATTTAAAATCCCTTGATTTTAAATCAACTTCCCAAATGCAAATCAAAGTTCCCAAACGCAGCCATAATTAATTTGAAAGAACTCATGGGAATTGGGGGAATCAACTAGCAATTTCAATGATTCGAGGTACTACTATTAAAATAGCTTAAATAATTTTAAGGGACTTAACAACAATTTCAATGGTTAAGGGTCTAGTTATTGAAGTTTTAAGGCCTTAAGGTATTAAAATGGACAATATCTGAAGATGCAAATAACAAAATGCTTTTTTGTGTGGTGCTGGTGGTTGGGACCGATTTATTTTGTTTTTGTTTTTTTAAGGGAGGGTGGGGAGGTACCATATATGTGGCTCCGTCACTGGGATTGGATGCAGATCGAATATAATATTACATATCCACATCCGCTCACGGATCAAATTATTAAAGTTTCAAGGCCCTACCGTATTAACATGGACAATGCTCGAAGATGCAGATAACAAAATGTTTTTTTTTTGTGGTGGTGGTGGTGGTGGGGGTTGGGACGTGGAGGGGGGATCCCCCAAACTATGTACGTGGCTCCATCACTGGGACTGGATACATATTTGATATAATACTTATCATATCCATATCCACTTACTGATCACGGACACAAATACGTCTTGGTAAGAAGCACTCATATCCATATCTGCTAAAACTTGATACAGACACGGATATGGACCATATCCGCTAAAACTGGATGCAAACACAGATATGGATATACATGCAGAGATACATGCAGATATGCTTGCGAATATAAGATGGATATAGGAAAACCAAATAATATTAAAGAAAAACTGACACGAGAGCTCATTAATGTGTTCATTAAATTAAAGTTCTAAGATTATATCTTTTGATCATCAAAATAAATCTCAAATCCATTAATCTAAGGTTTAAAACAATTGCAACAATATGATCAACATATATTCAAATATTTCAGATATGGCAACAGTATGATCAACATATATTCAGAGATTTCAGATATGGATGCGGATATTTCACTAACTATATCTGTAACTATATTCCATCGGCTATAGATTTTAGTAATCATATGTGTATCCTAATGGAAATGGATACATGTATATACACGAATATGGATATTTTTGGCACCCCTCCTTAGAAGACTCCACATAAAACTAACAATTTTAACGCTACCTATCGACCTGATCCCAGGACATAATGCCTAGCCCAAAAATAAGAAAGCCAGTGAGCATCAATAAAATCTGTCTGGACACACAATCAAGGAAAATCTTCCACAGTCCCTCCAAGATGATGAAAGATACTAAAATGAACAAGCTAAATTTTTATTTGAAAAATGCATTATTTTAGTAACTAATACCTGTTCATAAAATCAGACTTCTGAACTACCTGAATCAACTTTTGAATGCCATACTTGTCCTGAAATATTTCAACAAGATCATTAAAACCAGGTATTAGCAAAAAAAGGTAGGCTCGTAGTAGTAAAATGGTAATATGTATGTGTACCCTTTCTGTAGAGTCTCTCTCTATCTTGGCAATACATAACAACACCTCATTTTTGGTATCCTCATGAATATGGGGATGCTTCCACAAAATATCAGAATCATTGAGTTCCCACGGACTATGAGAATGCGTACCAGAAGGATCATTTCTATATCGAATAATATATCTCTCCCATGGGCTGTCTGGAAATTCAGCGGATTTAGGCTTCACCTCCTGAATCCTACCTTCCCACCAAATACCAGTAGCTCCATCCTCATTTCTCCACCATACCTGACATTTATCTCGGTACCTCCAATTTCTCTCGATGGCAGCATCATATCGTGACTTTTCCACAAGAAAGTCTGGGTAAGCAACCAGCTCAGGTAGTGTTAACTTGAAAGACTTACCGAACCCAGTTGAAGAAGGATCAACAAACTCAAGGATGAGTTTGCAACAGCTTTCCCCTGATCCAGGAAGAGTAGAGTAATCAAGATGTTGCACTTTGCAAAATTCGACAGCTTTTAGACCTTTGATCTTCAAGGGCCATCCTTCATGTGCACGACGAGAACTTCTAACATACTCTTCGTGACCCTGAAAACAAATAGCACAATAAGCAAGAGATAATGTTCTGATAAGCATATATCTGCTGTTATCAGTCAAGAAACAAAACACACACACCATTTACCTGTCTCAAGTATGCAACTTCATCTCCTAGCTGTGGAATGTAACGGTAGCTCTCCTCATGCTCGGTCAACATCAACCATGATAGCCCCCCTGTTTGCTGGTAGCTATTATCCATATGTCTTAGATTACTACTATAATTTTCTCTCCTGCTTCTGGCAGACCTTAAACCGACGGTCCTTAATGTTGGCTTCCAATCATCAATGAGATGGTGCTCCCGCCCATTTGTCGTCGTTGAGTCCCCTCCATATCTTGATGATTTTGAAGAGCTATATTTTTCCCTCCCTCTGGGATTACTAATCTGTGGGGACTGATCTGTCTGTTTTTTTGAACTAACAGATTTTGTTCTCCGGACAACATCAGTAAGTGCATCACTATGGTTTTTGAAATTTGATGTACTTCCTTCTACATTAGAAGTAGTACCAACAGAATTTTTACTGCCCCTAGATGACTTTGACCTTGTGTAGACAAGATCATACATCTTGGTATTAGAATCTAAATGTGGCTTCTTTGAACAGTGTGATTCATCTACCTGTGTGCCCAAGCTCCCCGATGCATGACCATTCAAATCACTATGGTCAAGACTCTGTCCACTTGTACCCTCATCCTCTTCAAGCACTGCTGACATTGAATTCTGTATGGCTGCAGGGGAAATATTGGACAAGGGATCATGTCCAGAACTCTTTAAATCTTCTACTGAAACAGAACTCAACTTAGAAGATGAACTAGTGCTCTCGTTCATTGACCCATTCGATCTGATTCTGAGATTTAGAGTGTTTCTCTCAGGCTCCCGAGTATGGCTAGCACTATGGAAAGCATTTGTAGCGTAAGACACACTTTCACAATGGTTCACTGGCTCATAAGTACCCCTAACTTCACTAGTTCCATTGGTCTCTTTCTGTTCCCTGTCCAAGACTACAGTTTCAGTCATGCTACCATTACATGTGACTGCGGTTGCAAGCTGATGCTGCTGGTCTGTACTTGGCAATAACTGCTGAGATATTGTTGACTTGAAAATATTATTGGACGGATGTTCTTCAGTGCTTCCAGCTTTCTGCACCTGCAAAGAATCATTTGCACCGTCACCTCCTTGTATATCTAGCTTATCTGAAGGAGCTTGATTTCCAGCATTAGAGGATGTCCAATACTCATCCTCAGATTTTAAATGTCCGTTAGTGTCAATGGGAACTAAGTTACGTCTTCCTGGCAGTGGATTAGGTGGAATCGATGCATCCGTCAACCTAGCATCTCCCAACTTCAAACGTTTTGACGAACGTGCCCTAACTTCTCCCCATCTGATAATGCTCCCACTGTAACCTGCAGAGATATTACACCGTTGTTCCTTTTCTGCATTCCCCCTTATCTTCACATTTTCATACAAAGCGTCACTTGCATCACCCAAAGTCTGTGCTGCCTCAGACGGGTTACAATGGTTTCCTTCTATTACAGCTCCACTGGGGGCTTTAAATGAATCCGCCACGCGTTCCTGCTGATGGTCATTGTAGATCTTGAATTTCCCGAAGAGATTTTTGCTGTTGAATCACGAGGAGGCAACCTAAGGACAAGTCTCCTATTTCCAGTCTTTGCCTGAACTTCAATGGGTTCGGAAGGTTTTGCAACATCTTTATACTCATCTTTGGAGGCATTTCTGCTCTGCATTGACCCTCCTGATTCCATGCTCTGGGAATTTGAATCTGGAAACTCTGATTCACTTTCTGAGGAGCTGCTTTCCAGGCCGAGATCTTCTTCATCAGAAGAACCACCAGTAATTTTTGAAAGGAAATTGAGAGCGTTTCGTGCAGAGCGTCTTTGAGGCCGCATTGCCTTGGATCTTGATGATCTTTTCTTCGAAGTCAATCGTCCATGTCTTGACCTCCTTTTCCTGTCAGTCCTTGATGTGGTAGCACCATCATGCTCATCTAAGTTTCTTCGTTTTACTCGCCTCCCAGAAGAAGTCCTGAGCTCGACCTGCCAAATGAACTTTTCATTAGTATGAAGAAAATAACTTTTTAGGAAAAAGGAAGGGAATATGTCTAACTACATACTTCAGATTTGCGCTTCTTCCTTTTTGATCTGCGAAGGCCGTCCTTATGATTATGCTCAACTTCACTCTCGCTAGCACTGTGCTCAGCTTCCTCAGATGAAGTACTACCTAAACTTTCATGTTCTGCTTCACTTGAATATTCATCAGTGATATTATATTCAGAGTCATTATCATCGTTTCGTACTTCATTTTCTGGTTCCCAATCGATGGCATCTAAAAATTCTGGTAGAGGCTCGACCCCCCATCCATCAAGGTTTAGAAGTGGAGGCATTTGATAATCGCCAGTATCTGGGTTGTAAGTGAAGCCAGTTGCAAGCGTGACGGAAGATGGACGCCACTCAATACCTAGTATACCGAGACGGCGCTGCTGGTACATATTCTGATAAGGGTCTGGATAGGGAACCATTTCTAATATTGCCAGCGATACATATCCATAAGAAAACAAACACCACAAGGGCACAAGATAAATTATATGAAAGGTCTAACAAAACCATGGATGAAAATGCATACCTGCATCACAAAGAAGATCTTGAATATTCCTTCTGTATGGTATAAGCTGAGTCTCCTACAAGTGTCGCAAAGGTCATGATGCATCAGTAATTTGATGGCTATGGTGTTGGTGGTGTTTGTGTTACAATGTGGAGTTAGAGACTAGATTACTTTGGCAGCTATGGTGTTGGTTGTGTTTGTGCGTTATAGTGTGAGTGAGGGCACAGGATTAAATACAATCAGTTCACAGTAATCAAAAGACAGAAAATAGGAGCCCCTCTAAATTATTTGTAAGCATAGCTGCGCAAGCACAAAAGCATAAATGCGCATGAATACACATATATCAAAATAGCCAGAACAAAGAAAGTTTTCTGAGTCATATATTACCAGTCTTCTACTTCATGCAAACCCATGGAATTGTGTAAATTGCCAGAACAATACAGCAGACTAAAAAAAATGAACAAATTAAGAAGAAAAAGTTATATTCTCCGTATTAAAAGACTACTAGTACCACAAAAACTCTGAAGTTAAGGTGAGGTTTAAAAGGCTATGATTCTATATCTTAAAGTATTTTACTGTAGTTTCTAAAATGCGCAGCCAGTGGAATTTGACCTGGATGGCTATGTGACCATTTTAAGGCATTCTACCACATAAAAACTCAAATAGCGACCAGAGTTTATGGTTATAATTATATATAATAACGATCACTACTTACTATCAAATGGAACATGTCAAAAAAATTGATGTTTACCCATAAATGCAGACAATACAGTCAATCAAAAATAAGAAATCACAGAAAACAGAAGATAACAATAACTACAGACCTGATCCACAACATTTCCGTTGGTGTCTTGGATAAGGGGTCGATAATCACCAAGAAAGAACTGTCATGATTAAAAATATATACATATATCAGTAGAAAATTGTAGTCCCACCTTGTACCATTGTGCAAATATTTCAAATGTACCTGATCAAATTTTGCGTCCTTCTGAGACTCTCCTTGTCCAGTCGCTATTATAAATATTTGCCCAACTTCATCAGAGAGAACAACTGATGTTCCGTCCCTAAATTATAAAGCATGAGATGTAACTTGATTAATATGGTGTAATAAACTACTGAGACAAGCTAATCAACTATTTCTCATAAGTATCTCATTTCAATAATATTTTGCAGATAACTTACAGTGAGAACCTCCCATCAACCAACTTGTACTGTCCAGTTTCATATATTTGTACAGGTGTACCCTCCCATATCTAGAGAAAATGCACCAAGGTATTATTTCTACAAATCAAACAATTAAAATCACAGTGTATGGCATGAAGACATTGGCAGAAACTCACATCCCATATGATAGTTTTTCCATCATATCCAGCACTCATAGCTATGCGAGGATTGAAAGGATGGACATCCAAAACAAACGTCTGTAAAACTCAAGTAAAAAAGATAAAAATAATATCAATACACAATCATTAGCATAGAAAAAGTTTTACAGGATGAAGTTTGAACGATAAAAGTAAGCAGCAGCCATGAAGGCCTGGTCACTGGTAGAGAGGGTTGAATTACTGGAGGTCCCAGGTCTAAGAACAAGCCATTGCCTTTTTCTCAAAATAAATAAGTAAATAAACATAGCAGTAAATTTCTGTTACTACTAAGAACTTTCTACACAATAAACTACAGATCTCAAAATGCACAATATCTCATATTGACCAGTAAAACAAATCTCAAAAGACCCCCAGCTGTAGCTCTCATGAAAGGTAGGCAGGTAAAAGTAACCTTAAGTGAACTTTATGATATCTCATTAGAGATTCTCGCAATGTGAATCAAAATAATATATACATTAAACAAGGGTAAGAAGAAAATATAGTCACATCAAAAGGTATGGAGCTCACCACTTTATCTCTTGGTAGCTCGTCTAGCAAAATGAACTGTCACCTCATACCCATCATTCCCATATATATTTTATATATATAATATATAATTAATATAATATATATATATATATATATAGAGATTTGAGAGACGAGATGTCTTATGTCAACTTAAGTGGATGTCCACGCAAACTTTTTAGCCACTCATATTATAATAATAAAGCATCTCATATCTTTCTTGCATCCCTAGGCAACATCAATGGCTAAAAAGTTTGTGTGTGACAACTTTTGGCTATCCACTTTAGTTGCCACGAGTTTTTGCTCTCTCTCTCTCTCTCTCTCTCTCTATTACTATAATATATATATTATATATATATAATATATATATATATATTATATATATATAGAATATATATGTATATATTAATATAGATTATAGGTATCCTTGACAAGGAGGTTTTCCTCCTTGACAAGATGTGGCTACAATCCCACCATGTTGGAGAGGATAAATTCTAGAGAGAATTTTCACATGGTGGGGTATTGTGGTCACATCATTGTCAGGAGGGAATCCCCCCCTTGTCAAGAAATACCATTAATCTCTCTCTCTCTCTCTCTCTCTCTGCTATTAATTATATAAATATAATATATAATATATATATATATATATATATATATATATATTAATAATATAGCGAGAGAGAGAGAGAGAGAGAGAGAGATTCTCCACTTCTCTTAATTTATCGATTTTCCCTTTCAATCTTTGTGTACTGTAACGAGTCTCAAAGTAATACATAACATATATGAATACGAAGTAGCCCCCACTCCCCCCCCTCACACACACAAAAATTATCTTACGTTATACAACTGTATGTTGCCCACAAAGAACCACATCCAGATAGCAACGTTATAGTTACAGTACTGACATTAGATGGATGGTATTTAGAAAATGCTGTGAATGTAAAACTTTGTTAAGATAAGATTTAGAACATATAAGTTTGATACCTAATGAACCCAATATTATAGTACATGTCCAAGACATCTGCTGTTGACAGGAAAAACTCCCGACACCATCAGTTTCCATCGTGTCTAGATAGCAATGTTATAGTTATAGTACTTACATTAGATAGATGTTATTTCGAAAATTCTATGTATGTCAAACTTGTTAAGATTACATTTAGAACATATGTTTGATCCCCAATAAACCAAATATTCTACTACGTCCAGACACCTGCTATTGACAGGAAAATTCTCAACACCATCGGTTTCCATCAACGTTTAAAACTAAAGAATATGAAACCCTAATTCATTATGAGATCTTATGGGGCTTTATATAGGCCCCTACACAACTTTCAAATAAGTCCCTAACTAATACTAATATGTCAACACTCTTCCTCAAGATGGGCGAAAGATATCTACTAAGCACATATTGTCACATCCTCTAATCATATCTACTGAGCTAAGTCCTTTAGTCAGACAATCTGCTGCCTGGTCCTTAGTCGAAACATGACTTAGCTCTAGTAGTCCACTATCCAATTTCTCTTTGATGAAGAACCTATCGATCTCGATGTGTTTGGTTCTATCATGCTGCACTGGGTTGTTGGCAATACTGATGGCTGACTTGTTGTCACACCACAACTTCATCTTAGCTCCTTGATCCAGCTTCAGCTCCACTGATGGCTGACTTGTTGTCACACCACAACTTCATCTTAGCTCCTTGATCCAGCTTCAGCTCCACCAGCAAACTCTTCAACCATAGCAACTCAGCAATTCCTAAGGCCATAGCTCTATACTCTGCCTCAGCTGTCGATCTCGCCACCATCGACTGCTTCTTGCTCTTCCACGAGACTAAGTTGCCTCCTATAAAGATGTAGTATCCTGAGGTGGACCTCCTGTCATCAGCACAGCTAGCCCAATCAGAGTCACAATAGCCCTCAATGCTCATGTGTTCATTCTTCCTGAAGATTAGCCCTTTTCCAGAGGCATTCTTCAAATACCTTAGAATCTGGTACACTGCGTCCATATGACCCTTCCTTGGATCATGCATGTAGCGACTCACCACGCTCACTGCAAAAGAGATATCGGGACGTGTGTGACACAGATAGATCAACCTGCCCACCAGCTAGGGAAGTCAATTTATGCCCATACCCATTTACCCATCTTGCCCACCCATTATTTGGCCCGTCCAAAACCCACCCATTTAATTAAATGGGTCTAAACGGGCAGGTCCATTTTACATCCACTCAAACGGGTGCTAAATGGGCATTCTATACCCGCCCGCCCGCCCACCCGCCCTTATTCCCAAAACAAAAATCCCTTCGTCGC